TATCTGCGGGTATCTCGTCTCTGCTCCCTGCAAAATTTTACTAACATAATAGATGGGTCGTTGGACCCGATCTACTTCTTTTATTAGTACCGAACTGACCACCTCGTCGCTTGCCAAGAGGTACAGTTCTAAGACATCGCCCTCCTCGGGCCTGGTTAAGACCGGCACACAAGCGAGGTATTTCTTTAGCTCGTCGAACGTGAGTTGGCAGTCTCGGGTCCATTCGAACCCTTTGCCTTTAACTGCCTTAAAAAAAGGTAGGCAGCGGTCTGCCGACTTGGACATAAAGCGGCCTAGGGCGGCTATGCGACCATTTAACCTTTGGACCCCCTTCAATTTCCGAAGCGGTCTCATGTTTATGATTGCCTTAATCTTGTCCGAGTTGGTCTCAATGCCGCGCCGGTTAACGATTTTCCGTTGCAACTTGCCCGAGGTGACACCGAAGATACATTTGTTCGGATTTAGTCTCATGTTGAATTGTCTCAGGATTTGAAATACAGAACACAAATCGTGTATTAATTCGTGCGAGAACTGTGTCTTGACGACCATGTCGTCTACATAGCACTCTATCTTTGTGCCAATTAAGGGTTGAAACAACTTATTCACAAGCCTATGAAAGGTTGCCCCAGCATTTTTTAATCCGAAGGGCATAACCTTGTAACAGTATAGGCCGAACTCTGTGATGAACGAGGTCTTTTCCTCGTCGGCCGAATCCATTCTGATTTGGTTATAGCCTGAATAGGCATCTAAGAAGCTTAGCAACTCGTGCCCCGAGGTCGCGTCTACCAAGCGGTCGATTCTGGGTAGTGGGAAGCAGTCTTTTGGGCAGACCCGGTTCAGGTCGGTGTAGTCGACGCACATGCGCCACTTGCCGTTGGCCTTCCTTACCAGAACGGGGTTGGCTACCCAACTCGGGTAATGGACTTCTCTCACAAAGTTGGTTGCGAGAAGCTTCGGGACCTCCTCGTCGACTGCTTTTCATCGCTCTGGGGCTAGGTTGCGTTTCTTCAGTCTAATGGGCCTAACTTCAGGATCGGTATTAAGTTTGTGAGTTATAAGGTTGGGGTCAATACCGGGCATATCGGCTGCGGACCATGTAAAAATATCTAAATTTTGAAGTAAGAAACTTACCAGTTCGGACCGTAGAGGTTCTTGGACGGAAGCACTGATCTGTAGCGTCCGAGCTGGGTCCGCAACTGAAGTTGGGATCGCGACCGTTTCTTCTGTGGGCGCAGCTCGTTCTTTGCCTTGCTCCGTAGGTCGTTCCAGTTCGAGGTCGTCAGCCACATTTGTTTTTCCCTTCTAGGCGGCAACATAGCACTTGCGGTACTCGAGTTGGTCGCTCCGCGTTACTCCCACACCGAAGTCTGTAGGAAACTTCATTACCAAGTAGTAGGTGGAGACCACTGCTTGTAGGACATCAGTGATTGGCCGCTCTATTATGGCATTGTATGGGGAGGGGGTCGCGACCACCAGGAAATTGTGGTTGAGTCTGACCGCACGGGGCCATGTGCCGACTTCCACAGGTACTGTCACTTTCCCGAGGGGCTTGACTTCCTCTCTACTGAAGCCCACCAGAGGAGTGTTTGCGGGCTTCAACTCGCTTCCCCGTAACTGAAGCTGGTCAAACGCCGACTTGAAGAGAATGTCCGCCGAGCTGCCTGAGTCAACAAGCACGCGCCTGACTTCGAAGTCGTTGATCCTTAGTTTTATGATAAGCGCATCATCGTGGGGGTAGTGGACCCCTCGCGCATCGTCTTCCATGAAGAAAATTGGTTCCTCCGTCTTCGGCCTCTTCAGAGGGTTCTGCTCTTCTTGGGCAGCTTCACGAACTGACGCCCGGGCCGCTGCCGAAGTACAACTCGCTACTACCGAACCTCCCACTATCACGTGGATGGTTCCCCGAACTGGCCTCTCTTTCTGAGGCTATCTTTGCGACCGTTCGGCCAGCCTGCTACTGTACTCGGGAGCATCCTTGCCGTGCTCCCCTTGCCGAGGGGAGTATGGACACGACACCCGGCAACACGCTGCGTCACAACCACAGGCAGCAGCGCGCCTAGCGGCACGCACCGCCCGGCAGCGCGTTG